TTATTGTTGAAATTAGACGTATAATAATTGAGTATAATATTTAAATACAGGTCTAGTAAAGAGAAGAATTGAATTCTCTTTGTGTGTGTATAACATTTTGCTCAATTGCGGTTCAAAGTTAGTGTTCCCAGGCCAGGCGTGGTGGCTCACACCTGTAATCCCAGCACTTTGGGAGGTCAAGGCGGGCAGATCACTTGAGGCCAGGAGTTTGAGACCAGCCTGACCAACATGGCAAAACCCAGTCTCTACTAAAAATACAAAAATTACCCAGACATGGTGGCGCATGCCTGTAATCCCAGCTGCTGGGGAGGCTGAGGCACGAGAATTGCCTGAACTCAGGAGGCAGAGGTGGCAGTGAGCCGAGATCACACCACTGCACTCCAGCCTGGGTGACAGAGCGAGAGTCTATCTCAAAAAACAAAATAAAAAAAGAACAAAGTCAGTGTTCCCTATCATCAAAATCCATGACAAATGTTTACCTGTTAATTCTAATCTGTAATGAGATTTGGCAAAAATAGTTTTTCCCGCAGATAGGTATTGCCAAATACAGATAGCAATCCACAAGCATATGATGTCACGAGCACATTCATCATTTGAAAGGCATTTATGGAATTCTATTTGGATTCTGGCCAGGTGCAGTGGCTCACATAATCCCAGTACTTTGAGAGGCCAAGGTAGGTGGATCACTTGAGGCCAGGAGTCCCAGACCAGCCTAGGCAACTGGCAAAACCCCCCTCTCTACTGAAAAAAATTAGCCAGGCGTGGGGGCATGTGCCTGTAATTCCAGCGACTTGAGGCACAAGAGTCATTTGAACTTGGGAGGCAGAGGTTGCAGTGAGCTGAGATCGTGCCACTGTACTCCGGCCTGGGCACCAGAGCAAAACCCTGTCTCAAAAAAAAAAAAAAAAAAAATTCTGTTTGGATTGACTTTTTCTCTTGATATTTGCCTTTTAGCATGTCACTACATTGTGGTTTAATCACTTGAGATGTGTCTCAATTTCACTGAAGTCCTAAAAATGCTGCTGGAACTACAGTTTGAGATTGGAAATGTAGCTCCTGAAAATTCATGTGGGAATGGACATCTTGCTGTTTGTTTTAACTTTTGATATGATGGGCTGTATATAAGGCAGCTTGACATCGCTTGTTATTCAAACAATATACGATCAACAAAGTTACTTTACAGCAGCATATGTTAAACATATAAGTGCTGTTTTGCCTTATAATTTTAGGTTGAATTATTAAGAGATATTATCAAGCCTGCTTCAAAAACTAGCTACCAAAGCCTCTCAGTGTTTGATAGCAGTGGTTATGTGTGGTTCTTTTTTTTTTTTTTGAGACGGAGTCTCGCTCTGTTGCCCAGGCTGAAGTGCAGTGGCATGATCTAGGCTCACTGCAACTTCCGCCTTCCGGGTTCAAGCGATTCTCCTGCCTAAGCCTCTGGAGTAGCTGGGACAACAGGCACATGCCACCACGCCCAGCTAATTTTTTGTATTTTTAGTAGAGACGCAGTTTCACCGTATTAGCCAGTATGGTCCTCAAGTGATCTGCCCATCTCGGCCTCAGAAAGTGCTGGTATTACAGGCATGAGCCACTGCACCTGGCCTGGTTCTTATTTAGAAAAATTTCAGGCCGGGTGCAGTGGCTCACGTCTGTAATACCAGCAATCTGGGAGGCCGAAGCGGGTGGATTACCTGAGGTCAGGAGTTCCCAGCCTGGCCAACACAGTGAAACCCCGTCTTTACTAAAAATACAAAAAAAATTAGCCGGGTGTGGTGGTGGGCGCCTGTAATCCCAGCTACTTGGGAGGCTGAGGCAGGAAAATCCCTTGAACCCAGGAGGCAGAGATTGCAGTGAGCCAGGCTGGAGTGCACCACTGCACTCTAGCCTGGGTGACAGAATGAGACTCAGTCTCAAAAAAACAAAAAAAAAAAAAAAGAAAAGGAAAAAAATTTTCAATCTCAGCCCGGAGTTAAAAACCATATGGCTGTGTGTGGTGGCTCACATGTATAACCTCAGCACTTTGGGAGGCCGACACAGACAGATTGCTTGAGCCCAGGAGTTCAAGACCAGCCCAGGCAACATGGCAAAACCCTGTCTCGGCAAAAAAAAATGCAAAAACTAGCCAGGCATGGTGGCACATGCCTGTAGTCCCAGTTACTTAGGAGGCTGAGGTGCAAGGGTCGCCTGAGCATGAGAGGCAGAGGTTGCAGTGAGCCAAGATCACACAACTGCACTCCAACCTGGGTGACAGAGTGAGACTCTGTCTCAAAAAAACAAAACAAAACAAAAACATAAAATTTAGCATGGCCAAAACATCAAACTGCTATATGGCACCTCAAGTCAGAATATTCAGCTTGTAGCTGGGCGCAGTGGCTCACACCTGTAATCCCAGCACTTTGGGAGGCCAAGGCGGGTGGATCACGAGGTCAGGAGATCGAGACCATCCTGGCTAACACGGTGAAACCTCATCTCTACTAAAAATACAAAAAATTAGCCAGGCGTGGTGGCGGGCGCCTGTAGTCCCAGCTACTCGGGAGGCTGAGGCAGGAGAATGGCATGAACCCGGGAGGCGGAGCTTGCAGTGAGCCGAGATTGCGCCACTGCACTCCAGCCTGGGCGACAAAGCGAGACTCCATTTCAAAACAAAACAAAAAAAAGAATATTCAGCTTGTATTTCTAACAAAAATTTATGGAACTAATCACAGTTAAGTCCACACAAGCAAATGAAGTTCACAATTGACAGTACTGGTTCAATATCTTATGACAGATTCAAAAATGTCTGCAAAGTACCTACTGATGAATCATACAGTTAATAACCATAGGCTTTTCTTTTTTTTTTTTGAGATGGAGTCTCGCTTGTCGTTCAGGCTGGAGTGCAGTGGCGCAATCTCTGTTCACTGCAACCTCCGCCTCTCGGGTACAAGCAATTCTCCTGCTTCAGCCTCCCGAGTAGCTGGGATCACAGGTGTGTCCACCATGTCCGGCTACATTTTGTATTTTTAGTAGAGACAGGGTTTCATCATGTTGGCCAGGCTGGTCTCAAACTCTTGACCTTGTGATCCGCCTGCCTTGGCCTCCCAAAGTGCTGGGATTACAGGTGTGAGCCACTCTGCCCGGCCCAGACATTATTATTGTTTTTGTTACTTATTATTGCAAAGATTCTCTCCCAATTTATGGCTTATCTTTTCATTCTCTTAAGTGCCTTTTCTTTTTTCCCCAAGACGAAGTCTTGCTGTGTTGCCCTAGCTGGAGTGCGGTGGTGCGATCTCTGCTCACTGAAACTTCTGCCTCCATGGTTCAAGCGATTCTCCCACCTCAGTCTCCTGAGTAGCTGGCATTACAGGTGCCCGCCACCATGCCAAGCTAATTTTTATATTTTTAGTAGAGACTGGGTTTCACCATGTTGGCCAGGCTGGTCTCGAACTCCTGACCTCAAGTGATCCTCCTGCCTTGGCCTCCCAAAATGCTGGCATTACAGGCGTGAGCCACCGTGCCCAGCCTAGCCCACATATATTTTAGAAACAGTATATTGATTTGTATTCTACTCCCTTTCTAAAATCACTTATCAGTTCTTGGAACATTTTTGTAGCTGTCATCGGATATTCTACACATAGATGATTGTGTCCTCTGTGAAAAGAGACAGTTTTACTTATCCCTGGGAGGGGAAATTGTCTGTTTCTCCATCTTGGAAGCAGGATTCCTCCATACAATTACGTTTTTGTTTTCCACTTTCAGCAAAATCAGTCTTTTGGCTACAAGAAATAATCGATACTTTCAGGGCTTACCTGCGAATATTCCTGGTTCCCAGATTGTGACATGCGCTGAGAGTTTAAGGACCCAAGTTTGTCGGGTTTTTTTTTTTTTTTTTTTTTTGGTGCGACGGAGTCTTGCTCTGTCACCAGGCTGGAGGGCAACGGCGCAATCTCGGCTCACTGCAACCTCCGCCTCCCAGGTTCAAGCAATTCTCCTGCCTCAGTCTCCTGAGTAGCTGGGACTACAGGTGTGTGCCACCACGCCCAGTTAATTTTTTAGTAGAGATAGGGTTTCACCATGTTGGCTAGGATGGTCTTGCTCTCCTGACCTCGTGATCCACCTGCCTTCGCCTTCCCAAGTGCTGGGATTACAGGCGTGAGCCACCATGCCCAGCCAAGCTTCTGGTTTTCTTTCTGGAAGTGACGCAGTGCAGAGAAGAATCCATCCCACGCCACAGCCCTTGCAGTCATCGTTATTGACATCACAGTCAAGTACAGCAGCCACTTGGGCTCCCGGGGCATGTGCTGGAGTTGGTACTTCATAAAGACAAGCCGTAGGCGACAGTCTGATTAACTCGATGCCACAACACATCACAGATTACTAACGTCCAGTTCCCATTCCCTTGGAGCTCAGACAAAGCTCAAACCCAAGGGCATGGATATACCAGTCCCCAAATGCTATCCTTGTGGATCTATCTCCAGGCACCCCTCTTGTACTAATGCTGCATCAATTGGGATCCAGTCACAAGGCAGAAACCAGAGTCATTTAAACAGGGAAGTTTTAACAGAAGAACAATGAACTATTTACAGGGGATTGCAACTAAGTGTGAATCAAAGAGAACTCTAAAAAACACCCATAGGGCCGGGCGCGGTGGCTCACGCCTGTAATCCCAGCACTTTGGGAGGCTGAGACAGGCAGATCATGAACGAGGTCAGGAGTTCGAGACCAGCCTGGCCAACATAGTGAAACTCCGTCTCTCCTAAAAATATAAAAATTAGCTGGGTGTGGTGGCATGCACCTGTAGTCCCAGCTACCCCGGAGGGTGAGGCAGGAGAATCGCTTGAACCCAGGAGGCAGAGGTTGCAGTGAGCTGAGATCACGCCACTGCACTCCAGCCTGGGTGACAGAGGGAGACTCTGTCTCAAAAAAAAAAAACAAAACGAAAACAAAACACACACACACAAACAACAACAACCACCAAAAAAATACCTAAAGGGTGAGGGAGAGAGCCCAGAGAAAGAACAAACCTGGAAGGGGGTAGCCTCCTTAAGGCTGGGGCTCAGACCTCACTGGAGAGAGGTGGCTGCAGCCCACTGGATGGTGAGGTTGGCTGGGTTGCCACAGGTCACAGCTGGTCCGCAACCAGCTGGTCAAGGCTGGTGGCCAGGGGATCACAAGCAGAAACCCCTCCCACTGGGGTGCTGGGGTGCCAAGGTTGACAGGCTGGGAACCAGGCCCTGCGGCCGGCAGGCAGGAAGTTGAATGCCACTGTGTGTCCGGTGTAGGGATGCCTGCCACGGGGGCGTGGGGGGGTGGGGGGTGGGGGGAGGATGGGAGAGAGGAGGAACTAGGACAAGCCCCTTCCTCCTGTAGCGTCCCTCCTGCGCCCTCTACTGGCAAAGAAGAAATGTTTGCCAGTTCCACATCTGGTAGCAAATGGGGCAATGAATGGATTTGGAGCTGGGAGGCAACAGATAGAAAACTGGCACTAGTATGTGCTCACAGTATTTAAAAAAAAAAAAAAAAAAGGAAAGGCAAGTCTTGTTTCTCTCTCTCTTTCTTCCTTTATTATTTTGAGAGAGGTTCTTGCTCTGTCGCCTAGGCTGGAGTGCAGTGACATAATCTGGGTTCACTGCAGCCTCGAACTCCTGGGCTCAAGTAATCCTCCCACCTCAGCCTCTCAAGTAGCTGGGACTACAGGTGTGTACCACCATGCCCGTGTAATGTTTATTTATTTATTTATTTATTTATTGTAAAGATGAGGGCCTCACTATGTTGCCCTGGCTTGTCTTGAACTCCTGGGCTCAAGCGATCTTCCCACCTTGGCCTCTCAAAGTGTTGAGATTCTAGGTTTGAGCCACCACACCTGGCCGCAGTTTCATTTCAGAATGTCCTTGTTGAAGCAGTAAACATGATCAATTTTATTAAATCTCAACTGTTGAATATATTTCTTCTTAATATTCTGCGTGTCAAAATGAGAAGAATGGATAAAGTGTTTAGATTAATCGTAAATCCAATGGTTACCTCTGGAAAGGCTCTCAGAGATGGAGCTGTGGGATGAACCAGCCACCACCTGTCATGGAACACCATTTATACAAGGAAAAACCAAGAACAATTATTATTATTTTGAGATGGAGTCTCACTCCATCGCCCAGGATAGAGTGCAGTGGCGCGATCTCGGCTCACTGCAACCTCTGCCTCCCAGATTCAAGCATTTTCATGCCTCAGCATCCCGAGTAGCTGGGATTACAACAAGCACGCGCCACCACGCCCGGCTAATTTTGTATTTTTAGTAGAGACGGGGTTTCTCCATGTTAGGCTGGTCTCAAACTCCCGACCTCAGGTGATTCACCTGCCTCAGCCTCCCAAAGTATTGGGATTACAGGCATGAGCTACCGTGCCCAGCCAGATGGACTATTATTAATAGACACTTCCTGGCCGGGTGAGTCCGGCCTGTTCACCAGGCTGGATGACAGGCATGATCTTGGCTTACTGACAGGCCCCGCCTCGCCAGATTTCAAATGGTTCTCCTGCCTCAGCCTACCCTTACGTACTGGATTACTAGCTGCGGCATCACTACACCCAGCTAATTTTTTTTTTTTTGGATGGAGTTTGGTCTTGTTGCCCCAGTAAGAGTCATTTGGCAACGATCTCGGCTCACACAACCTCCGCCTCCAGTTTCCAAGTGATTTCTCTTGCCTCAGCCCCCAGAGTGACTGGATTACAGGCCATGCGCCTACCCACCCGGCTCTAAGTATTTTGTATTTTTTATAGAGATGGGAATTTTTCTCCCATGTTTAGTTCAGCTGGGTCTCGAAACCCAAAGCTTTCAGGGTGATCTGCCCGCCCTTGGCCTCCCAAGTGGCTGCCATTACGGGAGTGAGCCATCGCTCCTGGCCTCAATTTTTGTATTTTAGTAGAGATGGGGGTTTCGCCATTGGCCAGGCCTGGTCTCAACTCTGACTCAGGTGATCCCTCCCCCTTGGCCTCCCAAAGTTTGCGCGATAACAGGTATGAGCTACCTCCGCTCGACCGCGAGCCTTTTAAAAATAGAACCAGCCGGGCGCCCACGGTGGCTCAAAAGCCTGTACCCAGCACTTTGGAGGCCCCGAGGCGGGTTTGGATCACGGTCAGGAGAATCGAGACCCATACCTGGCCTAACATGGGAAACCCGTCCTCTACTAAAAAATACCAAAAACTAGCCGGGCGTGGGCGGCGCCTGTATCCAGCTACCGGAGGCTGGAGCGGGAGAATGCGGTGACCCCGAGGCGAGCTTGCAGTGGAGCCGAGAATCGGCACTGCACTCCAGCCTGGCGACCACAGCGGAAAGAACCCGTCTCAAAAACAATAACATAATAATAATAAAATAAATAAAATAAAATTAATCAAGGCTTCTTCCTCTCTTCACCCTCCTTGTCCAAAGATGACAGTTTCCTTGGGAAATAAACCACTCCAAGTTCTTTAGGATTTCTTCTACGACTTATCACGCCTCCACTCCCTCGTACCAACCCTCTCCAGAATTGCCATTGCCATATGAGATAGAAGAGTCTCAGACATGGATGGAAGTGTTTTGTTTATTTTACTTTATTTTTATTCTATCTATTTATTTTTTTTGAGATGGAGTCTCACTTGTCCAGGCTGAACGTGGCAGTGACATCTCGGTCCTGCACTTGCCTCCCAGATTCCCCCAAGCGATTCCTCCTGCTCAGCCTCCCAGTAGCTGGGACTACAGGTGCATGCCACAACACCCAGCAATTTTTGTTTTTAGTAGAGACGTTTCACCCATGTTGCAGGATGGGTCCCATCTCTGACCCTCATGGTCGGCAATCTCAAGCTTCCCCCAAAGTGCTGATACAGCGTAAGCCACCGCCCCGGC